CTTTACGCCACCATTTCCCCAGTTTCGAAAACGGTTGCACATTTGACACACCAGTAATGACAAGCTTTATTGCCAAGTGAGTGAAGCTAGGGCAAGGAAAAGCTCACATTATCCAATGCATTTCATCGATCATGGATACTGGTTGTAGTTTGTGAGGTATGGTTTGTGTGTAAATCAAGAAAGGTTGGGTGTGCCAGGAGCTTACAATGCTATTCAAGTGCAGTTTATAGTTATACTTATGTTAAGGGCGCACCCAGCTACTGCTAAATAAAATCAGGCCACAGTTTGGAAAATGTTAGTTGTTTTTAATAAATTGTTTGAGTGAGGTGTTGATTAAAGTTGTCCAATTTGTACAGCCTGGCTTACTGGTGTCATGTATGCCATGGGTTTTTGTCTCTGGTGCTCTTGCTATAAAACAATGCAGATTAGTTTATTTTATGTTTGGCAGCACACTCCGGTTTTTGGATGATTTGGAACTTAAGGAGTAGCAAAAAAATTATTTTAGATTGTTAAAATCTTTGACGAGCAAGAGTCCTCCAAGTCTGGCCCATAACCCAGCCAAGCTATGGATCTGCATGCATATAGTACCGTTTCTCCATCAATGGTTGAAGAGCTTCTGCACTTGAGGCTTGAGCCAGGGGTCGCCGTCCACCTATAAGCTCTGAACGCCGTTTACTTCCACCTGAAGCACCCCTCTGCTAGAACATTGGAATGCTCCTCTGCCAATGCTAGCGGTGCCACTCCAGATGTACTTTGGGGGTCCCTTCACCCATGGTTGAGTACCTGGCTGTCTGGACTTAATGTCAACAGATCGCCACGGGTCACAGTCGGTGCGCAGGCAGAAGCGTCTTCTCTGACCAAGCTTTGGGCGGATATTTGTCAAGGATGAGGGAGAGACAGCTTTCCACAAGGGCTTAGAGTTGCCCCCCCCCCCCCCCCTGAGCTTAGGGTTGTCCCTTCGCTTGGGGTTAGAATCGGCCTTTCACTTGGATGTTGAGTTGCCACTCTGCTCGGTTCCTACAGCGCACATTTTTGGCCTCCTGTAAGGGGGGCCGAATGACGCAATTTTAACTTGAGTCTAAACCGGATGAACTAGGTGCGATTTCGATCGAATAAGAGACGTTGCGATTTGACCTAATCAGACGAAAGAGCGCCAAAACTATCCGGAGTTGAGAGGCTGTTACTGTTGATGTTTATAGGCGCTGTAATGCGCGTTAACTACAATGGTCATTTTGCGCCCACCATTGTTGATAGGGTGGCGGGTCGTAATGCTCTGATTGGCGTTGTATTGACTCATGGACCAAAAATGGCTTATTCTAACGGATGTGTCATGTTCATGAATGAGATAGCAATCGCAAGGCCGACAAAACGGCTCGCTTCCTGCTTTCTACTTGCCACGCTGCAATGTAGAAAGCAGTCAGCTCGCAAGTCCGCTCAACACGCGCCCGGGTGGCCGGCTAGATAATCTTCGCTCGGTTGGGGGTCAATTTTACCCCCCTAAGATCTTGGGAGCTAAGAAAGCTAAAGACACTAAATTTACAGAGTGTCTTGAGCTGTACGTGAACTCACTTATGTCAAAGTCTGAGCTTCCTAGGTCATGAAACTCAGGTCAAATAAGAGCAAACAATGTCAAATTCCAGGTTGGTCTCCACAGTGCCCCCAGAACCTAGGAAGCTGTTTCTTAGCAAAAGGTTATAAGCCCATTTAAGGTCACTGACCCTGTTTGCCCTTTCGAAGGTCATGGTGACAAAAATCATGCAAGACTACTCTGAGTTTTGCATTTGAATAAGCGGGAAAGATAACGCTAGACAGTATGTTTCTAAAACAAAATGTCGACCCGGGTCATCTTAGGTCAATAACCTTTTCTGACCTCTAAGAAGTCAATGGAAGATGTATGATGCGGTTCCTGTTGTTAATAAATCCAAAATGAGCACTACAATCTATCCCATAAAGCAAGCCCTAGAGTAATAAAAAGTGTTGGTTGTGACCTTGGTCTGGCCTTCATACATGACCTTAGGTCAACATAATTTGCTCATTCAATATTTTTGGCGCCTAAGAAAGCGTCTCAGAGAGATATATGGCTTTGTCAAATACCCCCTTATTGCATTAGATTGGACGACTCCCCAGAAATTGCCGTTGCTGAAACCATGGCCTGACTCGGACCTGCCATAGGTCAGCGACCTTACAAGGTACATCTAAATTGTTTATGCCAAACTTATTTTTTTACTTATTATTATTTATATTATTTTTTTACTTATATATTAAACTTATTTTTTTATTCGATGTTCTACAGCTATGCAAAATTTGGTGCGGCTACGCCACGCCGTTCGGAAACCATTCCGGAAAAACCTTCGGAGGGGGTCAATTTGACCCCCGAGCGCGTGTTCATGAATCAAGACCCTTGTTTGCGCTAAAAGACCCACTGTTTTCTTTTTAGAAGTAGTATATCGTGAAGTCATTGGTGGCTTCTCTCATGTTAAATGGGCAACTGTCGAAAAAAACAAAATACAAATATTCTTTCCTCAAACCAGACGATTCGCTTAAAAACCTTTAGGAAGACGCAGGCAGCTAAGGGGTCACCGAATGGCGTTACCGGGCCGGGTGTTCGCTGTCACCCAGAGACGGCTGTGGGACCCTGACCGGTGACGGGCGCGTGACCCGCCTCGGATAGTAGGTCGGACGAGTGGGCTGTGGTCGTGGGTTCCCTGGTGGCGATGTGTGCTTTTCGTTATTGTTAGGAGAGGCGCTCAGACTGAGGCGCTCCGCTTTTGCATCAATGCACGCACCCGCGGACTCCACATCCGACGTACCCGGGAAAAAAGTTGAAAGATAGGGTCGTAGTTTCGCACGTGATCTACACGCAGTTGGTGATTTTACAGCAGCTCTTACGCTCACCTGTGAGATCATGTTAAACTGGATCAAATTTAAAACTGCTGATGTGGCCATGGATCAAACTGTGCTTTCGCCGTCCTCGTGGCTCCGCTCGCATAGGTGGAGTGAAGCCAATACAAGTCAAACCCGTCAAAATCGAGCCGTTTTTTTGTTGTTTCTACACCCTCGTTTTATCTCTAAGGGGTACAACAAGACCACGTGAGGCAATTTCATAACCCCACATGGTTGATTTCGGATAGGCTTGCACTTACCATTGATGATACCGAGACGGCAATGTTCTGCACTTACGATCGACGCCGGTGATATTAGTGTACTGCCAACACATTTTTTTAGCTGTTATGAAGGCCTCGTCTCACGTGATTACCAACTTGAACAGCTTTCACATCACCATTGGTACGCCTCACTGCTTAGATTTGTGAGGTAGTGTGTCATAGAATATTTGACGTTATCTTCAAAATTTTACCCAGTGCTCTAAACCATTAATAATCGTAGGGAAGGTCATAGACATTGGGGTCGTCCATGACCCCGCCCCCCCCCCCCCCTTCTCTTCATTCAGGATTACTGGAAGCAAAGATCCGGGACACATAGAGCAAAAATGCGTCGCAGAAGGGCAATTCATCGCATTTCCACCGCACAGAGTATTAAGAACGAGGTCATAAATCGGTGCACTGATATCGTAGGGACGACAAATTTCAAGGTCAAGGTGTAAAACATTGTACATTTTGCTAGCCAAGATGTCACTACAATTCGCTGCGTGGTTGCTAAATGACTCGGAAATCAGATATTTTGGGGGGACTTATTCCGGTCTGGCGATGGTAAACATTTTAAACTTCTCGCGCTCGGGCTGGAACGGGTCAACTGGCAACCCCCGAAGGCTCTCTCCAGAATAATAACCGAAGGGTGTGGTGCATGTGCAACAAGCTTTGGACGGATATAGGCAATTCAAAATATTTTAATGAGAAATTAGATGTACCTTGAAAGGTTGCTAACCAACAGGAGGTCAAAATGAATCGATGGCTATGAGAGAAGATGGTTCCTAGGGAAGCACTTAACCTCTTTCGGCAACGGAGTGTTTGACCTATTTATACAAATTTGATATGGTTTATTAAGGCAACGTTATTGAAGTTATGATTATCATTACTCATTTCATTTGCCCGAAGTCATGTGAGAAGCTCAATTCAAGGTCAAAGCCAAACCGCTTAATTGATTAGAAAAAGTCGCTACGCGGGATCAATTTTGGCGCTCAATTTTAGAATTCCTTGACCACAGGGACAAAAACAGACTAAATCTGGCTACATGAAAGCCAGGAGGGGTCATTGGCCCAAAGTGGCCTCGATCGACCTTGGTTTTCAGTAACATGTCGTCTAGAGTTGTTCTAAACTGTTTTCAGTTCAAATATTAAAATCTTGAATGCTTTTTGGCGACCCTTTTTGCCTTTTGATGGCCAGATAACGTCACTGACCTATAACGAACACAGGTGACCTTTTGCTTACAAAAATATATTTAGGTTTAGGCTTGTCGCGTGAGGTCTGGGGCATTTTATGCACATATGTTGAGCTGGACTCGTTGACCTTATTTGATCAAAAGGTCAGGACCTAGGTATCTCAAAACTTGACACCAATGAGTTCACATAGATCCACAACTATCTTGCCAATTAAATGACTAGCTCCATCAGCTTTTTTAGATGTCAATGTTAACTCAGTCCCCAATCCGTCCGCGGCGCGTTCAGTCTTTAACACGGGCGTGTGGTAACACACAACTGGGCGTGGAAATTTCCCTTTTATGAGCTGCGCCATGCAAAAATACGTCCGCAAACGAAAACTGTGCACGCAAGGTGGGCCTTGCACAAAACGGCCATTGCCCTCTCTCTCTCTCTCTCTCTCTCTCTCTCTCTCTCTCTCTCTCTCTCTCTCTCTCTCTCTCTTCTCTCTCTCTCTCTTCTCTCTCTCTCTCTCTCTCTCTCTCTCTCTCTCTCTCTCTCTCTCTCTCTCTCTCTCTCTCTCTCTCTCTCTCTCTCTCTCTCCTCTCTCCTCTCTCTCTCTCTCTCTCCTCTCTCTCTCTCTCTCTCTCTCTCTCTCTCTCTCTCTCTCTCCCCCATCAGGGCTTACCTCTCATGTAACAATAGGCGACGCTCTTCATGTTCTTCCTGGTCAGCACCAGCAGATTGAGCAGATTGCCCACGATGCCCAGAGCACAAATCACCGGCATAGCCACACCGTACGTGTAGTATTGGAGCGCTCTCATTTCCTCCATGTGGTCAGACGCCGACTCGTTGGCGGCGCCCAGCGGCGGTGCGTCACAGTAGGCCATGCTGGCGGCGGTGGCGGCCAGCAGCTGTCCAGACCTCAGGCTCATGGCACCAGATGCGGCCAGAGAACGCCCGGCCTCGTCCAGCTCCGAACCACGTGTTGCCAGGAAGGCTCGGCTGCTCTGCTGGCGGTGTACTGTTCCGGCAGGGGCGCACTGGCGACGGCTGAAATTTACCGTCTGAGTCCCGAGAGTACAACCTAGGTCGGATTCCAAGGGCCCCGGATCCAAATGGGCACCAGCGCTTATTTTTGAGAGCCTGTATATAGCTCGGAAGCCACCCGAAAAGTCTAGGAGCACTTAAAGCTCCCGAGAACGCACAGGGTCTAAGGTATCCAGAATGCCTAGAAACACTAAAATGCTTGGAGTTCGCAGCCTACTTCCGCGTGCTGTGAACCTGTCCAAACGTTTTGAAAGAGCCGTCTCGTCCTGTCCAGTGCAGGCTCAGATCTCACCGAGCGTCCTACAAACGCTGAAAAATGAAGGGAGAGTCCTACAAACTCCTCACTTTAGCGCATTGCTGCGGGATGCGGGAGCGCCAGGACGCCCGGAGCCGAGCTCGGGTGGACTGTGAGCATCCACCGCACCACAGAGTCCTTCACCGCACCAGAGCCTCAGCAGAGTTCAGGTCGAGTCGCACCCAAGCTCGACCCAGCGGCAACGAGTCTGCAGCGGCCAGCGACGCTCAGAGCCTGGGTGACAGTCCGCGTCTCACACCGCCAACAGGCTGTAGCGGGCGGTGCACGGCGGGTCAGCCGCCTTGCGCGCCTGCGGAGCCGGGGGCAGCGCTCACCGCCTCTCACAGAGCCGCGGCCCGGAGCGCGTGCCACCTCTCTCCAACAGGCTCCGCGGCGTCGGCTCCGACGAAATGGCCCGTTCGGCTGCCGCCGCTTGGCCGACCGGACTGATCGTCAGCCGACGGGCGCACGAGGCGGCCGTCGGCGGGACACACCCACGCGCAGCCCGCCGTGCGTCTGCCGTCGGGGCCCGGCGCGCGGCTCTCAGTCAGCACCCACGCTGATCTCGGCTCCTCCGGCCGCGGGCCTCGAGGGAGGCTTGGCGAACGGCTGATTAGCCACGCGTTCAGGTATGGTATGCCACAGGCTTAGGTGCAACAGTACCCTACAGGGTTTGACTTACGTGGGGAAAAAAATCCAGAAGCTGTACACAGCATCGGCTCGGGACACCGCGCGCACAGCTCGGATAGCGCGGAGGCTAGCTCTGGTCGCGGTCGACTTGGTCCCCCGCTATCCCAGCCCCGGCCTGGACCGGGGCCACCAGGATCTCGTTTCGCGTTGGACCGGCTACGCCTGTCCCGCTCGCAACTGGGCGTGGGGCGCCGGCGAGAGGAAGAAAAACAAGCGACACGACGGTGCGACGACTGTATTTGGCGTACAAGGCGTTGCCACCTTGACGCCGTTACTGTGGCTCTGGCGACGAAGTGTTCCAACATACATATGAGTACATCGAGCAACCTCTTAACATACACTGCGGCACACCCAATCAACGCCGCCAGGATAAAGCGGTCCCGGCCTGTTAATATTCAAGCGTACCTCAGAATAACATTCTCGTTATACGAACCCTTAGACTATACTCTGTAAAGGCACATGTTATCAGGAGTTATATGGCATACGAACACAAAAATACACTTCAAAACGCATACAGACGCATGTGCCGGCAAATTAAGTCAAACGCAACTGCACTTTCCCAAGATCAGGGGTGGTTCCCTATTAGATTGGGCGTGTAAGGTGCGGGTGTGGGAGGATATAGCCGCCGTCCACCTTCCACAGTAAGTGGGCCAAGTTCAGGGAAAGCCTCATATTATATACATATATATATATATATATATATATATATATATATATATATATATATATATATATATATTCAGCTTTTATTTTTTCAGCTTATATTTTTATCATATATATGTATATATATATATATATATATATATATATATATATATATATATATATTTCCATTCAGCCTCCCCCTGACACAACACATTGCATTCCTGTCTCAGGCTGCATGAAGAGGGAACGCGCGGCGAGTGCTTCATTTTCTGTGTTCAGAGACCTATCTTAGTCCAGTATCTCAAAGCACACAACAGCATCACAACAATCATGGTCTCCCGACGACATTGTGTCGTATGCCGCGAAGACCTCGGCCACATTACATGCTCCCGAAAATAGCGAGCAAAACCGAGATGAGCACGTCCCAGCATTGGTCATTTGTACGAGACGCCCGGAATACACAGAGCATGAGACCGCAGAGTGCAGAGTATCTTATAGTCAGATATCAGATCAGATAGTATATATATATATATATATATATATATATATATATATATATATATATATATATATATATATATAGATCAGATATCAGGTATCAGATAGTCGTATGCTGAGCCTGTGGACGCCTGCGGATATAAATATCCAGATATCCAAATATTCAGATGATTGCCAGAGAAGGCACAACACAAGACAGATCCAGCAGCGGAGTCACGTGGGGCGCTACGCCCATGCACCTTCCTTGTAATCACACGCATCACGCCGCGTATCACCCCAAACCATGAGTGCACGGGACGTGCAACCAAATGCTAGCGCACTAACCAAGCATGATACAGCCAACCACACGGCAGCCGCGTTCCCAAGACCACAGCCGCCGTAGCTTAGATCCTATGAAACTTGGTCTGGAGAAAGGATCGCCGGGGAATTAATAACCGAACCTTCCGATCCGGCTCTCGCAGTTAGTAGTTAGCGGAACGGACACGTGGCGAGTACCTACACACGGCGGCGATCTAAGAAAGCTACGCGCATCATTCGAAAACAACACATGAGAAACGTTATCGCCGGCACAGCGCGTGGGGCCACCAATGGCGCATCTCGGCCACCAAAAGGTCTCCCATCATCAGTTCGAACATGCCAACTCACTCGGCAAAGACGTTCGCGAGTTAATGGAGTGTCATTACAACCCACTATCCAGGGAAGGCAGTGCCAATGTGGATGATATCTTTATGCTGTAGTCGTTGAGTTTGAGTTCCCGTGTGATCAAAAGATGGCTGTAAACAGACAAACAAGTAACACGCCAAGGCGCCACTCAATAAGCGCAAGACACACTTAGCGTCACATTGGAAACATCACGTTTGCGTAACAGTCAATATCAGCGGTAGGACACGGGGCCTAGCCCGCATTGGGTAGCACACCAACGAGTGCCACCCCGGACAAACAGGCAACAACACCACGGGACAACACGTTTGACACCGGCGACGAGTAGATGGCGCTGCGCGCGCGCGCGACGGTGCCGGGCACCACAACACCGGAGCATCGAACATCTGAACACTCCCGAACCAACACAGCTGGTACGGGCGACGCCGCGCTTTGCACCAGTGAGCTGGGCACGCGGCGTCCCACAGACAACATACCAGGCCGTCAGCCAGATCAGCGGACTGGCCAGGTGCTACGCATGGATGCTGAGGGTGGCTGTCTTCGGAGCGTGCGCAGTCCTCACGAACAACTAATTGGTGAAGCTTTGGAGCGTGTGCAGCCTCTACGGAACAACTGATTGATGGAGCTTCAGGGTGTGTGCGGCCTTCAAGAAACAACTGATTGATGGAGCCTCAGGGCGTGTGCGGCCTTCAAGAAACAGCTGATTGATGAAGCTTCGGGGCGTGTGCAGCCTCCACGGAACAGCTAATTGATGAACACACACATAAAAGACGATGAGCACTGTGGCGACAAGCAGTTAAGACTACCCATGAGAAAACAATACATTTGTGTGCTCAAAATACCGTGATAGACACAAAGACCTACGGAGCCAATACGGGTCTACCCCAAAGGCCACATCAGCGTGCAATGCCTTGCAAGAGTGCTGCCAGGAATGCGGCGGCGCAGGGCGAAGCAGGCACACCGGCGCTGGCCAGGCGCGCGGACGGCGCACCGGCCCGGCGCCGCTCACAGGTCCGCCAGCTTGGTGAAGCCGCCGTCGCCGCCGCCGTCACCGGCGCGCATCACCTCGTCGTACGTGGGCGGCGGGTCGTAGTCGGGCGCCTGGCAGGCGGGCGCCGAGGGCGCCGAGGGCGCCGACGGCGCGAAGTCGTACCGCTGCGCGCTGGTGACGGTGGCCGGGTGCGCCGGGCTGGGCCGCGGCGACGGCTGCCAGGCGGGGCCGGCCGCGAACGGCTCCGTGCCGATTGTGAGCGGCAGGTGCAGGTTGATGTGGCGCGACGAGACCTGGGGCACAGACAGCAGCGCGCTCTAGACCGAGCAGCCACGCTAGGGGGCGCGAGGACCAGCTGCACCTTGGCCATGGGTGCACACTTAGCCGCTTGGATACGTGCAGTATGCCTTGGCGCGTGGTGACTAACCGTCGTGGTGCCCATTCACGTTTAGACACGACACCTCGAAGAAGCACCCTTACAAGGTTATACCACGAAAAACGGAAAGCGCTAAGCTTGTCGCGTCGCTGTGCGGTTCGTCGTGATCACTAGATCATATCAGCACATGGCGACTTGTTTGGATCCAAACAGCTGCTGTGCGCTGTACTTCTGAACAAAAATACTGAACGGATCGCACTAAGCCAAGCTCGAACGGTCCTCACTGACAAACTACCATCAAAAGCATAGCAGAGACAGCCGGCGTAAAAGGGTGTAAAAGCATCAGCAGCAGGAGCGGGCAAAACGACCCAGGTCGGCGCGAGCTGACCGTCACACCAGCCGCCCCACGGACCAGCGCTGGCCGCGGCGGCCGCCCACCTTGATGTAGTAGGTGACGGTGATGATGCGGCAGGTGGTGGCGCTGATGGTGATGGCCTGGTGCCGCGGCACGGTCAGCTGGAGCCTGCGCCAGCCGGACGGCCGCTGCGGCACGCCGGCCACCGTCACCGCGCTCACGTCCGTCTTCGTCTCGCGAGTGCGCCCATGCGCTGTGCACACCGTCCTCTGTCGGCGGCGGCACATCGTCGAAGCACGGGTCCACCGATAGGACGCCTCCCAGGCCCCAGTCGCCGCACGCGCTGGAGGCTGGGGGCTGCGCCAGTCTCGCTCCTGCTCTCGCGTCCGAACACACGCATGATACCACGAGGCAAATGCTGCAGTGTCAAAGCTGACGGCGGCGCGCACCGCGTCTGAGTGACGACTGGCTGGCGGACACGGTAGCACGGGCAGCTCAGCGGCCGGCGCCGGCAGCGATGCGCTCGGCCGAGCCCCGACTCACCTGCTTCAGCTTCACCACGCCGCTAGCCTTGGCCATCTTCTGGAAGAGGCGGTCGGGGCCGTCGATGGTAATGTCGATAGGCTGGCCGCCGATGAAGCCCTGACGCGACATGGTCATCCGGAACTGGCCGATGGCGTGGCCGAACAGCGACTGCTCCGCCTCGCGCTCCACCACCAGTGGCTCCTGCAGACAGACGTCTGTCAACACCTGCTGACAATGCCGCCTCCGCTGTCACACAGGCGTCAACGACTGCTGGTACTGTCGCCTCCGCTGTCACACAGCCGTCAACGACTGCTGACAATCCACAAACAGACAGCCCTCAATGTCTGTTTACACTCTACCACCACCGGCATCAGCCACCACACAGCCGTCAACGTCTGCATGCACTCCACCACCTTTGGCTCCTGCCACCAGACAGCCGTCAACGTCTGCTTACACACCACCAACAGAGAGCCGTCAACGACTGCTCACCTTCCACCACCAACAGCTTCCGTCGCCACACAGTCGTCAACGTCTCCAGACACCCCACCACCAGCGGCTCCCGCCTGCTGGCCTACTCGTGAAGTCCGAACCCCAACATAAACGCCTAACGCCGCAACACACACATCGCAAGCGGTCAGGATGAAGACGGCACACCGCACATTTCAACGTCGCATCACGCAGTAGCTGCGAAGACAACTCATGGACTCATGGCACCAATGACACTTCGATGCGCCGCGTCCGAATCACGATAACGCGCCCTGTCAACTAGCTCACAACTGACGCGGTATCCCGCTTCCCTCCAAAGCCAACATCTGCCAGGCTCCAGCGAAACAAAGCTGCCGTTCGTCTGCTGGGGCTCAGCCTTCCAGCCCGCCCAGAGCTCTCGGAGCTCGGAGCCGGCCAGAGCGTCGCGCCGTCTGAGACGCCGCCCCCGCCCTTTCCCTCGCGGCCCGCTCCTCACCGCCAGCTGAGGCTCCGCGTTCAGATCCAGCAGCGGCAGCACCGTGAAGGTGAAGTCCTCCTTGCCGTTGAACGAGAAAAAGTCGCTGCTGATGGCCCGCGCCTTGCACATGTAGCTGATCTGGCCGAACTGCGCGGAGAACGACGGCGGCAGGCTGCGGCGCAGCGTGTATGAGAACGGGTACTGGTACGTCCCCGGGTACAGAGCTTCCACGGTTGGCCCTGCAGCGTAAGGGCCGTGGTCGTCCAGTGACATGCCGAGAGGCCTTCGCAACGGTGGTGCAGCAGGTGACGGCCGGACAATCGGCGCCAGGCACAGTGATGAGACCGGATGAGACCGCCCGACCCAGCCTAGTGAGGCCGCCCGACCCAACCTAGTGAGACCGCCCGACCCAGCCTAGTGACACAGCCCGACCTAGCTCGGTGACACAGCCTGACCCAGACTAGTGACAACACGACCCAGCCTAGTGACACAGCCCGACCCAGCCTAGTGACACAGCCTGACCCAGCATAGTGAGGCCGCCCGACCCAGCCTAGGCAGACCGCCCGACCCAGTCTAGTGACACTGCCCGACCCAGCCCAGTGACACAGCCTGACCCGGATTAGTGACACTGTCCGACCCAGCCTAGTGACACAGCCTGACCCAGCATAGTGAGGCTGCCCGACCCAGCCTAGGCAGACCGCCCGACCCAGTCTAGTGACACTGCCCGACCCAGCCCAGTGACACAGCCTGACCCGGATTAGTGACACTGTCCGACCCAGCCCAGTGATACAGCCCGACCCAGCCTAGTGAGGACGCCCGACCCAGCCTGGTGACACAGCCCGACCCAGCCTAGTGACACCCCCGACCCAGCCTGGTGATACAGCCCGACCCAGCCTAGTGACACCCCCGACCCAGCCTAGAGACACAGCTCGACCCCGCCTAGTGACACAGCTCGACCCAGTCTAGTGGCACAGCCCGACCCAGCCCAGTGACACAGCCTGACCCAGACTAGTGACACTGTCCGACCCAGCCCAGTGACACAGCCTGACCCCGCGTAGTGACACAGCCCGACCCAGCCTAGTCACACACCCCGACCCCCGCCTAGTGACACCCCCCCCCCCCCCCACCCCGCCCAGTGACACAGCCCGACCCAGCCCAGGGACCCAGCCTGACCCAGCCTAGTGACACATCCCGACACAGCCTAGTGACACAGCCTGACCCAGCCTAGTGACACAGCTCGACCCCGCCTAGTGACACAGCCCCCCCCCCCTTAATGACACAGCCCGACCCGGTGAATTGGTCGCGACGGAGCCTGGCTCAGTGAGAGGCCGCAGGCCGGTGCGGTGGCGGAAAGCATTGTTGGAGACTATGAAAACGTGCAACTGGCCCGTGCAAGCGCGGACCTTTGTTACAGTGACGTTCCCGGCAGTCTTTACTTCACACCGCGCGAAAACAAATCGACCATGGGCGCCGCAGCCTTGGCAGCGGTCGCCGCGACAGGGCTGGCGAACCGTTTCCCTCTGCGTCTGATTTGATCTCACATCCGAACTCAAGAAATACGGTGCTGACAACCCGCGACACGTACAGTTCTGTAGAGCATCGTAGATGGCCTTTCCTCATATTATAGAAAATAGTCTCGAAAAAGACCAATATCCTACTTTGCTTTGCAGCTTCTTCAGAGCAGCAAAATACATTCCCTTTTTCGGCCCGTATCTACGATACGAGCAAAAACTTACTATGCTTCGCATTCATTTAACTTATCCGGTACCTGTACGCTAACTGCAACATCTACAGCTACGTCTCATGCAGGCCATTCTGCTTTGTTTCACTTGAGAGAGGGTAGTAGAGCAGTAACACTATACGGCAGGGCTGTATCCGAACTCCTTGTCACATCGCCTCCGCTCCTGTTTCATGACAAAGAATACTGAGCATGCAGACAAAGACAGGCGCTGGTCTTCTCCACAATCGCACTACCTCGGATGAAGAAGATGTCTTCCCGTAAGAGCCACAGGTCTTCCGTGTGCGTTTTGGTGTGCCGGTTCTTCCCTGAGCCGGAAGACGTCTTCCATCTGGTTCTAGCCAGTCCTCGCACCTTCACCAGCAAGGCTGCGGCCAGGCCCAGGCGTTACAGAAGCACGTGTTCGAGGCAGCGATGGGGTGCAACCAGTGTTAGAAAACTTGACGTTTCTTGGTATAATGTATACCAGGAGATTTTGTACTCTAGGATTATGACTAGGTAAAACGAAACATTTTGTAACATAGCGCAACACAGTCACGAATAGCCACTGCGACGCCCTCAACCTCCGCCGGTCAAATATCTGACAGAATGAGAACGGTGTCTGGTGCCTGCTCAGCTGGCAGCACTCTGACAGCATTTTGGCAGCATGATACGCGCAGCAAACATCTTAGCAGGAACGAAGTCCAAAAGCAAGTAAAAACAAACTATATCACATGGCCCTGTGCAAGTCTCGTCGGCCAGTTTGCTGTCCGCTGGATGTCAGGCAGCCAGACGGCCCTACCCGATGTGCCCGCCGCCGGCCGGTGCGCCGAGGGGGGGGGGGGGGGGTACTCACAGGACAGGCTGTGGGGATCCCGGCCCCCGATGGTGAGCGTCATCACTCCATGCAGAGTCTCGCCAGGCCGGTAAGCGCCCGAGCCAGTAAGGCTGGGGCTGAACGATATTGAGATCGACTCAATTCCCATTCTGCAACCAGAGGTGGGCTTGTGAAGCACAGCATGTACTTTGTTAAGTGCAGAAAGCATAACTATGCATGTGTGCACAAGTATGAAAAGCACGTACCTGAGTCCCTGAAACGTAGGAGTGGTATAGCTACTAAATCATTCCTTTGACTGCATCTTCTGCATCAAGACTGCATCAAGAAGTGATATGCATATAGTATGCATACACATTATATATGGGTATACTCTACCCATATATTTTTGCTCAGACATAAACCACTTGAGCATGTCAATCGAAGCTTTTAACAGATTCTGGTTAGTTTTGGCGTGATATGCTAGACAAGAAAATAGTTCCCTAAGGGACATGTCTCATCTCATATATGTGTGTGGCTGTATGTTTTGGATGCATTGTCAACCTATTGTAAAAGCAACATCTGACTCTTTCAGTGCATGTCAGAAACTGACACATATATGAGATGAGACATGAAGATGGATATATATATATATATATATATATATATATATATATATATATGTATAATAGGACAATATTTCCTATAGGTACAGATGGTTATATGTCAAGGCACAACTGATGATAAGGCAAAATTCATAGACAATGAAGAATGTTTCCTGAAATGTTGTACTGGAATTGGTTGAAAGCCCTGAAAAAGACATAAAAGGTAAAATATGCAGAGAAACCAATAGCAAGAGCAAGGGCAAGAGGGAGAGCACAGGAGCACAGGTGAACAGGAGCACAGAAGCACAAGAGAACAGGAGAACAGGAGAACAGGAGAACAGGAGAACAGGAGAACAGGGAGAGAAGAGAGAGAGAGAGAGAGAGCGAGAGAGAGAGAGGAGAGAGAGAGGAGAGAGAGAAGAGAGAGAGAGAGAGAGAGAGAGAGAGAGAGAAGAGAGAGAGAGAGGAGAGGAGAAGAGAGAGAGATGAGGAGAGAGAGAGAGAGAGAGAGAGAGAGAGAGAGAGGAGAGAGGAGAAGAGAGAGAGAGATAGAAGACAGAGAAGACAGAGACAGAAAGACAGAGGACAGAGACAGAGACAGAGACAGAGACAGAGAAAAGAGACAGAGGACGAGAACAGAGACAGAGACAGAGACAGCGACAGAGACAGAGACAGAGACAGACAGAGACAGAGACAGAGACAGAGACAGAGACAGGAGACAGAGACAGAGACAGAGCAGAGACAGATACAGAGACAGAGACAGAGACAGAGACAGAGACAGAGACAGAGACAGAGACAGAGACAGAGACAGAGACAGAGACAGGGACAGAGACAGAGACAGAGACAGAGACAGACGACAGGACAGAGACAGAGAGACAGAGACAGAGACAGAGACAGAGACAGAGACAGAGACAGAGACAGAGACAGAGACAGAGACAGAGACAGAGCAGAGACAGAGACAGAGACAGAGACAGAGGACAGAGACAGAGACAGAGACAGAGACAGAGACAGAGACAGAGACAGAGACAGGACAGAGACAGAGACAGAGACAGAGACAGAGACAGACAAGACAGAGACAGAGACAGAGACAGACGAGACAGAGACAGAGACGAGACAGAGACAGAGGACAGAGGACAGAGGACAGAGGACAGAGACAGGACAGAGACAGAGACAGAGACAGAGACAGACAGAGACAGAGACAGAGACAGAGACAGACAGAGACAGAGGACAGAGGACAGAGGACAGAGGACAGAGGACAGAGGACAGAGGACAGAGGACAGAGGACAGAGGACAGAGGACAGAGGACAGAGGACAGAGGACAGAGGACAGAGGACAGAGGACAGAGGACAGAGGCCAGAGATGGAGACAGAGGACAGAGGACAGAGGCCAGAGATGGAGACAGAGGCCAGAGATGGAGACAGAGGCCAGAGATGGAGACAGAGGCCAGACATGGAGACAGAGGCCAGACATGGAGACAGAGGCCAGACATGGAGACAGAGGCCAGACATGGAGACAGAGGCCAGACATGGAGACAGAGGCCAGACATGGAGACAGAGGCCAGACATGGAGACAGAGGCCAGACATGGAGACAGAGGCCAGACATGGAGACAGAGGCCAGACATGGAGACAGAGGCCAGACATGGAGACAGAGGCCAGACATGGAGACAGAGGCCAGACATGGAGAAGAGGCCAGACATGGAGACAGAGGCCAGACATGGAGACAGAGGCCAGACATGGAGACAGAGGCCAGACATGGAGACAGAGGCCAGACATGGAGACAGAGGCCAGACATGGAGACAGAGGCCAGACATGGAGACAGAGGCCAGACATGGAGACAGAGGCCAGACATGGAGACAGAGGCCAGACATGGAGACAGAGGCCAGACATGGAGACAGAGGCCAGATGGAGACAGAGGCCAGACATGGAGACAGAGGCCAGACATGGAGACAGAGGCCAGACATGGAGACAGAGGCCAGACATGGAGACAGAGACAGAGACAGAGATTGAGACAGATATGGAGACAGAGACAGATGGATATAGATATAGAGATAGAGATAGAGATAGAGATAGAGACAGAGACGAGATGGAGATGGAGGAGATAGAGATAGAGACAGAGACAGACATGGAGATGGAGATGGAGGTGAGCCTAAAACATGAACATCACATTTGTACACACTCAAATACAATAAGATGATGAAAGGTGGGCAGAATCCCCCTATCTGTAATGCTGTAATGTTAGCATAACACTCCACAAGCACCCAGCAAAACTTGGATATTTTTACCCCTAAGACTTAAACTTCGGCAGGGGCAATGGTGGTTTAGCTTCACACTGCTACTGTACTATGCCACCGAATTTCAGATTCAGAATCAGCTTGACAGGTGCAAAGCCAAAAATTTGAAGCTAGCACCTGCAGATTTAACATGATGCTTTGAAAATATGACTGTTGACTGTAAAAAATGTTGATTTCCACAGGGGCTCCACCTTCACAATTAAAGCTTCATGTCCATGCTTTTGACTTTGACTTCTTTTCATGTTACTTGACTTCTTTGACTTCTTTTCATGTGTCTCGGTTTTGGATTCAGATTTGAAGTAAAAACCCTGACATTGTGCCACGCTTGCTTTGGACCAGCACTTAGCCGCACATATAACATTAAGCAACATATACCTGACCCTCGGGGTTTTGCACTCAGGCAGTTCCACAATTTTCACCTTTTTTGTATGTATTTGTATGTATTTAGTTCACATGTATTTCACATGCAAGCCAAATGAGGTAGAAATGCATCTATGTGAAACTTTCATTTGAATGAGCTTCTTATAAAAAGCTCACTCATTTATGATAACAGTTAAAACTTTATAGTGCATTTTATTCTCCTCAATTAGGCAGAAGCATTGATTTCAGATGGGTGTGACTTCCAACATTATTCTAAATAATTTATCATATCAGCAGGGCTTGGAAACTTATAATTCAATAATCACTAGGCCTAATACAGGTAGCATAAAAGCCAATAAAACTGACTGATAACAACTCTGTCATTGAAAATGGCTTGACTTACTACCCATCTACCAGGTTTGCTATGATGTCAGCAAACCAGCACTACAGGGAGATTGGAAACAAAAGTCCAAGTATCTCCTGGATTTATTACTGATTGTTTATTCACTTACACACACAATGAATAGCTTATATGTATACAGGTTTCTATCACTGTACTGACTGTTAAATGATGGGCATGTGTGTATGGTTCACATATAAAGCATTCTACTTCATCACTGCAATGAATTAGGCTGGACATTGGCTACATGCATGGTACATGTTCATTTGTGACAATACTTAGTCTATCAAAATCAGACAGGCACAAATCTACCATCATAATGTTTACCAAGCTCCATTCAGCAATGTTTATTCTGCAATGTTTATTAACCCACTCCATGGTAATACTGGACAGCTTCTAACTTCGAAATCGAAATTACCCTCCCAATTCTTCTTTGAGGGGACTCCTTCACCTCAGTGTATATCACTTCTTACAAATTGGTGTGCAGAATTTATGTTGTTGACCATGCTAGTTGGATGTACATTAACACAATAGCTTGGGATACAAAATTTCTGCTCTCACCTCCGCACCATTCGATCACCCCGCACTCACCTAATCACCCACGGGGCCCTCAATGGAGCTTCGATACTCCAGCACTGGCCTTGGCACTGGGCTATGACTTCATGTGCTTCGGGGTTTGGGAAGTCCTTGGCCGTCATTGGCCAACCGATTGAATGTTACAACATATGACGTCATAGAAGGTGGGTCTACGTCATGCACGGGCGCCCATGTTCACCCACGGCTCGAAGTCTACGAATTTATGTACTATTCTTACACAATTTCTACTTCACACAAAGAGCTTTTCTGCAGCCGGTAGAAAAGTTGAAAGTAAAGAAATGAACAGCATCGCGCGACACAACACGACAGTATACGCCTTAATGACTAATCCAAGGCCTGACTGACCTGACTTGTCCTCATTGCGCAATGTTTGTGACGGCGGCGGGCTGCATCATCGCGGTAATGTTCTGAGAATACCTAGAAAACCCTCTTTAGTTGCGCAACATCAGCCGCACGTAAGACCACGGAGGATGCGAGTGGCCGGTTTCCCGATGGGAATCAGTCCAGTGGCTTAGCCAAATAGGGAACTCTTGAGATCATGCTCGTGGCTCCCACTTAGGTGGGGGGGGGGGGGGGGCGTGGGGGGGGCGTGGTCATGCAGGGTTTTCGATTTTTGTGAATGATTGGGGTACCAGCTGTGGGATTGCGACCTGTTTCCCCCCCCCTTTTACAACTAATTTAGTCATGGCTGGAGGTCCTGCAAGGGGGGGGGGGAGTTTGGACCCCGGGCCCCGCAA